CCACGCCACCCCTGGACAACGTATCGAGCGGCCTATCGCGCAATACCCACCTCTAGTACGCCTTTCTTTCCGACTTTAGAGGCAAATACGGGAAATAAACGAGCGTAGGTGGAGGGATTAATCATGCTAAATGGAAAATTAGAAGATGTGCCATTACGATAATTAAAAGGAAAGTTCATACAATAATAACCATAACAACAACCATAATAATAATAATAATAATACGCGTGTATTTTGATTAAATTTACATTTAATCCGACTTAAATTGTTTACATTGTTTAATATTTAAACATTAAAATCCTTCTCGAAATTCTCACAATTAGTCGAAATGTAACGAGGTAAATATTATAACGCTTTAAAAAGTTATCTATACGATAATTTAAATTATATCTGTCGACGATGCATTTTATTAATGGTAACCTTGATACTGATTTTGATAAAAAAAAAAAAATAAGGAGGAAATGAAAAAAACGTTATACTCAGATAAAATGTAATGTATTTCGCATAAAATATTACGTTATGATGCGACGTTCGCGCTTATTCGTTTCACAGTTTACGTCGCGGGAATTTTAAAACATTTCAAGAATCGACGCTCTTGACGTAAGCCTATAAATTATGTTAGCACGATTTATAGCATGCGAAAGCCAAAGAGGAAGAGTCGACGTTCTGTTTAGCTTAATAGTCGCTCCGTATCTAATAGTCGTTTAATTTTGCAGCTTACTTGATCATCTCTCCTCATTTTCTTAAAGATAAGTCGTCCTTACAACGTCACAGATTGCTAGACAAAAACGGTCATTTGCAGCTGAATGCTGTGTTTACTATTTTCGTGGAAATTTTGCATTGCCCATTCGTTATGTTGAAAAACCTGCGCCGATTTGCAGTAACGAGGCCGGAAAAGACCTCATCCAAAAGAGAGATCGAACAATTCAACGTCATTATGTGTCGATACGTGCCTCTCTTCTTTACGGAAAAAAATTTCTCTGGCTCTCATTAAAACTTTCCTCGAATCGAATTCGTTGTTGCGTTATTTTTACCGCACAACACGTGTCGGTATCGAGTATCACGTTTCGACACGTCGTACATTATTGTCCGTAAACAAAATATATAGCTACTGCAGTCATAGATTATAAACTTACATTTAGTATTCTTTCTTTAATCTATATTATTTAAATAAAAGTACATAATTCTGAAGAATATTCGTTATATGACTTTTCTCAGTACCGTAAAGTATACAATCATGAGATAACGAAAGAAAGAGAATACATAAGATGTATCTCAATCAACTGCGGAAAGTGTTACGCATGCAATTTTCTTATCTCACTATAATAAATATCCTGCTTTATTGTTTTTACTCGAGATCGTTCCATTTTCGTCGAAACATTCTTTGCTTCTGCTGCGTCGATAAATCGTATCTCATTAAAGCCCGATTGCACCAGCAATACACTTTGACTTTAAGTGAAGCTTAAAAATCTCTTTCTTTCTTTAAAACCAACAGAGAAGGAGAGAGTTTTAAGTCTCACTTAAAATTAAAATAACATTACTTGTTGGTGCAATTGGGCCTAAGATTAATAGACTCGTTAAGGCTTGTTGAGACAGATAAACACTTTGCAGTCACTGAGGTACTGATTAGTAATAAAAAATTGAAGACTGGTCTCATCTCGTTTGATGGTGATAATATTTTTATTTTATCGGAATATGATCTTCTTGCGCCGAGGATTCGACCAACAATCGTTTGCCTTTCTTATAATATATATATTCCGCGTTTGCTTAATTAAGTAAATTGTTGTCGAACAGTCGACCCGCTCGTTAACGCGAATAATTTAGAATCGGATCTCGTAGAAAGATTAATATAATACTTACAGACGAACAATTAAAAGATCGGTCGCCGTGGCGATCAAATAATAACTCGCAAGATTCCGTCACTTCGTTGCAACGTGCAAACCAATTATTCGCAAGTTGCGCAATCTTATTCTATCAATTATCTTCGATAACTTTTCCTTTGTACTCGCAAACATTATCAAAGTGAAATTTAGCGATAGAATAACAATTGAGTAATAAGATATTTCAATGCGTATTTTAAAGGATACCTCTGTCTTTTTGAGATATGAATCTGCAAGTAAATACCTTATCAAATATGTTTTAAAAAGTATGTTATTATAAAATATAGAAGCTTGATATAAGTTTATTTTTTAATATTAATTTAATATTTAATATTAATATTAAAAAATTAACTTATATCACAAACTTCTATATTTTACAATAACATACTTTTTAAAACATTTAATTAATAATAATAATTAATAATAATTAGGTAATAATATTATTTAAAAATGTTAAATATTAAAACTTATTAATTAATATTAATTTGGTGTTTAATATTTTTCTGTAAGTTAATTTTTATAAGTCTCTCACGCACACACACGCACGTGCACACATACACTCGTACACACATTTAGAGCCCAAACAAATGAATTTATATAAGAAAAATAAATTTTATTACAACGTAAAAGGATCAGTCACCGATGTTATCCGTTAAAAATTATTTAAGAAAGTGAAAAAAAGCAATTATTTTATTTTTTATTTTTTACTGTATGTAACTGCTTGCATTACGCTGGCACTGAAAGTTTTCTTTGTTCCGTGAAAGACCGTGCAATAAGAATTCACTCAAGAACTGTTAAGAGTTGGACAATGAAGGAGAGCAGACTAAAAAGCCTCGAAAAAAAAAAGAAAGTTGGAAGAACTCAATTTTCTGTTCCTTTCTATACCTTTCTTCAGTCCAGATATATTGATTTTCTCTTTTGTATCGCCTCGCATGATTGCTTTGCGAATAATTTACGGTTTGCTGTATGGAATAATTTTATAAAAGAACGGTAAAAGTGAAATAAAACATTCATTTCTTCAAAAGATGGTTATTGATTTTAAAACATTTTTGTATTTAAGACTGTTTGATAAGTATACAAAAATATATGATGAATCTTATCATAATTAAAATATAACGTTATTAATTAAATAATGTCAGTCATATTGTTAGAAAATAGATTTTTCAAATTTATATATATTTTTTATCGATTGCTTTCAATTATACTCATGTAATTGGCTACAAAAAAAACTAATCAATTAGCGATTAGTGATTTCTTAATATGATTAGTTCCTATATTTAGATCCAGCAAAGAACTAAATATAAGAACTAATCACATTAAAGAATCACTAAGCTCTAACTGATTGATTTTTGCTGAACGCAGCCATTTTCTCTCTCTCTCTCTCTCTCTCTCTCTCTCTGTCTGTCTTATTATACTATAATGTAGATTTTTCTTTTTTTTAATTATTGTTATTCTGTTGTAATAATTTTCTTATATTATTGTTACTATTTCTGCTATACTTCTAGTACACCTGAGGAGATATTATCCCAGACTCTAAATGTACGCTTTCTCTTTCTCTTTTTCACTAAAATTCTATATTTTAATAATTATATTAAATTACAATAAACGTTACAATATACATATAAGCAAATTTAAATTTTTTATTTATCATTGAGCAAAACATTTACAACGCTGTTATGATTATTGATACTGTTTTATGGAGATTGAACAAATTATACTTCGAAAAAATAATAAATTGCTCGTGTGTGAATGGATGACGAAATGTCATTCGAAAATTCGTAAGATCCGTAGAACTGCGGAACACACAAAAAATTACAGGAAACGATGCAAATCTGTTTGCATAGCGACGTTTAATCATGTATACCGTACCGTTATTACATTGTTTTTGTAGGAATCGGAACGGATCATTGAACATGGAAATGCTGCGTGGCGACATAAGTGACGAAAGAAAAGAAATGTGATAATAAGCAGTCTTTGCATTGCTTACGATTGGAAACATATTATTACTATGTAAATTTTTTACATAACTTAACGACACGCGCCTTTCGGAACGTAATAATATCGCGTTACTGAGCATGTAATAATTAAACTGATGATTTGTTTCGAACGCAGGAAATAATAAATACGATTCATTATTGAAAAAAACTGAAATTCTCCTATTAGTTATTATTTGAATCTATCAGAACATATATATTCTGTGTGAATGGAGAATAATAGATTTGATGTAACCCGTTGCAGTATTAAGGATTCTTGTTACGTAAATGTATTTCAGTGACGTCAGAGAATCGATCCCGAAATGCGGAGGAGAGGTCCGCTTACGTCATTGTGATGACATAGTTATAATCTTCCTCTTTTTTGTTTTATGAGAAATATATAAATAAAAGAAAAAATTGACACAAGTTGCCCCTCAAAAATGAAATGAATATTTATTCATTTAAGATAAACATGCGAGAGAGAGAGCGCGCGAGAGAGAGAGAGAGAGAGAGAGAGAGAGAGAGAGAGAGAGGATATTATTTTATACAAACTCTTGAAACTA